TGCTTCCACATCCCCCACTTCAACTCTCCTCTCAGCTGCCGTCTTTCATTTCATCTAACTAGCCCGAGTACCATTATTGTGTTACTGATTCAGGATATGCTTAAGTCCTCCAGTTCATATTCATTCTGGCCTGTTCAGTAATTGATCTTCATGGGCTTGTCTTAGATTTGAAATTAGGCTGCTGCATGAATGTGATTAAAATATAGGCCTTTGAACGAAATGATTTGGTAAAGCTTATTTTATATAAACGTGGCCATGACAAGCAGTATGTTATTTTTCAGATCATTAGATATTTGTGACTTGAATATTAATGTTCAAGTATTCTTGTTTTCTGTCTTGATAGATTATACGAGAAAATAGTATCTCTCTCAGTGAAATCGAATTGCCTTGCTCCGAGGATTTGAATCTGGAAACTTTGTCGTAAGTTATGAAGCGTGGAACACAGATGAACCTTTCTGGTTCCTGTCAGATAAATAGCAGGAGTGTGCTGTGTGGGGCAGCTCTGCCCTTGGCTTGAGGTTCTGGATCCCAGTGTTTCCAACTGTTGCCGATCACATGTCCACAGAGATTTTGTTGGTTTGTTTGCTTTTGTTCAGGTCTCTCAGGAGTAGTGCTTATGCCCTCAAAAACCAGTATTGGAGGTTTAACTTGTACACATTCCTCTTTTATCCTTTCTATTAAAAAAATGGCAGTGGTTTTCCTAAATTATCTTTGCTGCATATGAAACGTGCAGGCTAGAGGCGCCCTCTATCAGCAAGGGCTGCCTGGTGCTTCTCCCGGAGAGCACGGCCCAGGAGCATGCCAGCAGAGTAGAGGCGCAGCTGGGCATTCCCAGAACAATACGAACTAACTGAGAGAACAGGAATGATTATTGCTTTTCTCCAAGATAATAGTAATAATGGATTTTAAGGCAGAATGATGATGGAATGCCATTTCTTGTAATTGTCTCCAGGCAAGCACATGTCTACATAATTGCAGGAGCCTGTTTATCTCTGGGTTTTCGATTTGCTGGCTCAGAAAACTTATCAGCATTTAACTGTTTGGTAAGAAGTATCTTAGTTTACTCTATTCTGTTTTCTTTTTTCACAAAGCCTTCGTATGCTTCTCTTAACTTTAAATGTCTTCTTTTGTTTTTCCAGCATAAATTTGCAAAGGATTTTATGACTTATTTGTCTGCACCTAATGCTTCTGTGGTAAGTCTTTTTATGATGAGTCTCCTTGGGAATAAAACTTGAAGAAAGTTCACTGATAATTCAGTTACTTACGTATTGTCAAATATCTCTGCAGTTTGTTTGAATTTGAAAGGGAGATTTGAAGTTTTTGCTCATCTTTGAATTTTTGTTCTGGGATATTAGATAAGAATGTGATTACCCTTGAGGGATGCACAGGTCTCTAATTTCTATGACAAGAGAATGGATAAGAAAAGCCATATCCTTCATGGATTCATACCGTCTGCTATTCTGTCTCAGTACTGAATATAGGTAATTGTTCTTTAAAAAAAATGAGTATTTAGTAAAAATGCAATTGTTTTTGAGGCATTGCTGGCTTTCATGACAAGAAGATAGCAAGATTTTTATTTCCTGGTAAAAATCACACAGATTTATGCAACATTATTTGTAATATGAGAAAATTAGAAACATCAAAAAGTCTAAAAGTAAGGTTTGATTATGATGTATCTGTACATTAATGTGTAATGAAGATATCAAAATTGTGTTCTCTAAAAATTTTTACGAGTAAAGAGTGGTTATAATTTTTAGATTAGAAAGATTAATGTATATAGAAATATCAATTTCATTTGGAAAACACAAATATAGGAAAAGATTTGGAGAAAAAGAAAGGCTAAACATCTATAGCAGTTCTTATTGGGTGTTAATATTCCAGCTGACTACTATTACCATTTCAATACTTTATTTTCTGAATTTTCTACATTGAACTTAAATTTCATAATCAGAGAAAATATTTGTTTTTATAGATTTTTTAAAGTTACAAACCCTTCTGGTCTAACAATGGCCACTTTAGTTTTGATCATAAAAACTAACACAACAGACATCTTTCTGCACTTCCAGACAGGTCCTTACAACCTGGAGACATGCCTGAGTGTGGTGCTGCTGTCTCTGGCCATGGTCATGGCCGGCTCGGGGAACCTAAAGGTTTTGCAGCTGTGTCGCTTCTTGCACATGAAAACAGGTGGCGAAATGAACTATGGTTTTCACTTAGCCCATCACATGGCCCTTGGACTTCTATTTTTGGGAGGAGGAAGGTAAATGAATATCTGTCTCTTTCCTCAGTGAAAAGATCTCATGAGTAAGATCTGTAAGAGTAATTGTTTGTTTTGAATTTGAGGGCACCTGAGCATTTTTGATTCTGACTAGCCATTAGCTTATCAGGAGACCTTAGCAGGCTTAACCCCCAGTTTATGCCCTGCTCAGTGGAGGTGCTATCTTGTCCGACAGACTTGGCCTCACTGCTGTCCTCAGAGCCTCATCGGTGAGCCTCTAGTCCCCTCTGTGTAACTACTTTATCATGAGGGTCATGAGCCTGTCAGTCTCCACGTCCCCTGAGGTTTTCTCAGTTTTCAACCTCACTCTTTGCGGCATCTGTCTTTCCTGACCACGTCATCCTCTTATAGGACTTCCCTGGTTTTTCATGATTGTATTGGGTAGAAATGCATGCGCACGGAGTGAGCTCATGGCGGAGCACAGCTTGGGCCGCCCACCTGCAGAGGTGCAGCTCGGAACCCCTCTCCCCGCCGTGTCCCTCCTACCTGCCAGCGCTTTCCTTGTGCCCAGAGAGAACTGCTAGTTGTGTTCCCACACCTCAGCCCGCTTTTGCCTTGTATTGGAATTCAGATGGATGCATGCACCATGGATTTTTTCGTAACTTCTCTTGCTCAGCATTAGATCTGTGAGATTCTCCTGTGTTGTGTGTCGCATTGGTTTGGTCACGTTTCAGTGCTGACAGATTCTGCTGCATGATGGGGATCAGCGACTGTGGCTGTCGACCTGCCCTGCTGTTAGCTGTGTGCTGTGTCTAGTTTGGGCTGTGAGGAATGATAATGTTATGAATGTTCTTGGCCTTGTCTTTTATTTGTCGGGTATAGATCTGTGAGTGGGTTGGGTCTCAGGGCGTGTACACATGTGTGTTCACTTTCTGTATAGCATGTCGTCTGCTCGGGAGTGGCTGTGTCACTTTCTGTGCCCACTAGCACACGTGAAACTCGATTGCTCCCCATCCTTGTTGACATTGGTCATTGTTCGTTGTCTTGATTTTAGCCACCTTTTAGTAGTGTCTCATTGTGGTTTTAATTTCCATTTCTCTGAATAATGATATTCAGCATCTTTTCATATCTTCAGTGACCAACTGGAAATCATCTGTGATGTCCAGATCTCTTGCTACCTACTTTAATAGTGGCTTCTTTTATAATTTTTATTTGTGATAAAATACACATAACATAAAATTTACCACCTTAAACATTCTTAAATGTACAGTTAGGTAGCATTAAGTATATTCACTTTTTCGTCTTGCAAAACTGAAACTCTGTTCCATTAAACAACAGCAACTCTATCCCCGACCCTACACCCACCCCCACCCCCAGCCCTGGCAGCCACCATGAGGTTTATCATTGTGATCCCAAGGCTGTGGTTGGTTTCCTGTGGCTTGTTTTTAACTCTCTAAATGGGGCCTTTTGAGGTACAGAATTATGAATATTTTTATTTTGTGGTTTGTACTTTTTTATACTTCTGATGAAATATTTTTCTGCTGTCCCCACCATGAAAATATTTTTCTATTTGTTGTCTAGAAGGTTTTTAGCTTTCCCATTCATTTGGATTTAAAATAGACTGGGAACTGATTTTTTGGATGTTTTTATCCAGTTGGTGGCCCACGGTTGTTGAAAAGTTTATCTTTTCTCTGTGGCTCTGCAGAACCACCTGTGTTATGCCTTAGGTGTTCGTGGACATGTGTTTATTTCTGGGCTGCTGGGTTCTTTTGGTCCATGTGTCTGTACCTGCACCAACACCACAAGTCTTAATTATTGTAGTTTTATAGTGAGTCTTGATGTCCTGAGAGGAAACCCAGACCAAGATTTCTTTCTCAAAAGTATGTTTTTCTGTTTCTGGTGCCTTGCGTTCTATATCGGTATTGGAATCCCTTTGTGATTTTCACACTAAAGAACCTAATCAGAATCGCACCGAGTCTGTGTGTGGGTTTGGGCCTGTGGGGTGTGTCCCTGCATTCATTAGCTCTCTTGTGAGTGACCTCGGTCCGCTGACATGATTTCTGGACATTGCGTAGGCTCATTTCCCCTTGTCTGTGAAATGGAGCCGTGCAGTGGAACGTGGAACTTGCCTCTCCAGAGCAGAGAGTCAAGACTCAGAAGGGTGGCTGCCCTTTAGCAGGTTTTGTAGACTTGTTCTTTAATTGTTTAGAATTAAGAATGGCTAAAGAAATAGTAAAATTCTTACTTTATGATTTTTGAAATTCTGTTTTCCTTTAGAAACAAGCCCCTCACTATTTCTGTTCTCACTTAACCCTGTCCTGCCTTGGTCCGCAGTGCATGGTCCCTGCCTCCCTCTTGACTCGGTTTCTCCCATGCTGCTACTGCTTCCCTTTCCTGGCAATTCTGGTCGGGAAGTGGTTATGTGCACCTGTGACAGCGTCTGCATTTCCCAGCGTAGTGCTCCCTCATGTTTAATCTCAGAGTTCCCAACGTTGACATCTGGTGTTTGTCTTGGGTTTGGGTCTTATCAAAATGGAAAAGAGGAAATGGCCTGTTCTGTGCACATGTCAAAATATTTCCTTACAATTTGAAATCTTTTCTTCCCAATTCATTGTGTGTGAAATAAATGCTAAATTTTTGCTTGATAACGTAATTATTAAAAAAAAATAGAAATATATATGGGGGTGTGTATGTGTAATAAAATATATATGTACATCGAATAGCTACAGTAGTGGTTTTATGTGATGTCCTTTACCATTTTTATTTAGATTCATCTGCCTGTTTGCCATGCTGAATTTGAGCAGTAGTGAAATAGTTTAAGGAAAATTTCAAAAGATTTTACTTTACTAAGAGTGTATTGCTTTTATATGTTTATCATATTGATAAGAAAAAAACTTTATATTTTGAGAAATAGTTGTTTATATCATTGCAACTTTTTAATAACGTCTGCCTTTTTCACTTAGTTCATCATTCTGAGGAAATGCTCATGCTTTACAGAAATGGAAAAGAATTTTTGAGCTACCCAGTAAAAAACTCTGTTTTTTAAGTCACATTCATAATGTTATAAACAGGCATATAGAAAACTGGGAAAGAAGGTGGTGGTCTTTGTACATGACATTTTCAATACCTACAGTCTCTAGGACTGCATTCATGGTCCTCAGTACTACACTATTTTAGGTTAAAGTTTTGCTTATTATTAATTTAGGTTTTGTAATTTAATGTTTGTGTTTGACATAGTAGATGATCTTGAGGTGGCTTGTGGGCTAGCTGAAAAGTGAAATGTTCACATCATCGACACACTCGTGTTTTCAAGGCCCTGCCATCAAGCATGCCTTGCCACTATAAGTACCTCGCTGCCTGCCTCAGTTTGGCAGCATTAGTAACCCACCTGTCCCTTCTGAATTTGCTCGCAGGTACTCATTGAGCACCTCCAACTCCTCCATCGCTGCCCTCCTGTGTGCCCTTTACCCGCACTTCCCCGCTCACAGCACTGACAACCGGTGAGTCTCATCGTCTTGCCCTCCACGTGGTTCTTTCTTAGGCTCCTGAGGGGATAATTTGGTTGTTCTTTGTTCCATGGACTCATTTCCAAATTAGCTTTATTTTGTTCTTAAACTTAGTTATCTTTCTGGCTGAATCTTATAAAAAGTGTCTCTCAACACAGTACTAGAGCAGAAGAGAACTTTGGCCATTTCCAATGATCAGGCATCCACCATACGCAGTCAGCAGGTGGCCTAAGCCCAGCAGGTGGCCAGCAGGTGGCCAGCAGGTTATCCGTAGGGAATCAGCCGCTGCAGACGACATGTTTCATGGTGTCATTATTTCCAAGAGAGAAATGTGCCTGATTTAGTAGCATTGTCTGTATATGAATTCTTTTTTTCCTTCTTTTACTTGAATGCCGGTAAATTTTGTTTAAGTGACATAGGAGGGACAAGAAAAGCAAAATACAGCAAAAAATTGGAGTTGATCTAGAAATACAGTGAGCGGTGCAGTGAGCCACCGGTGCAGTGAGCAGTGCAGCTCACATGTGCAGAGGCAGCCCGACAGCCCAGAAGCTCCACCTGCAGGCACGGAGGGCCACCCGCCCACAGTGCCTGGGTCCTGCAAGTGGAGGATGGGGGTTGGGGGAGCTGCTCACATCCCAGTGACGTCGAGACTAGGGTGCTCCACTGCAGGCACCCCGGCAACCCCAGGGGTGGGCCTTATGTAGTCAGAAGCCATCACTGAACTGCCCTGTGACCCACAGTGGGGGAAGGGTCGCTGTTGCACAGAAGTAGTCTGACCTGGGGTCCAAGCATTAATGATTGGTTATACATAAGAACATTGTTGTTACACCAGCATGGCTCAGATATGTGGTCTTGCTGGTCAGTTTAGGGAGGGAAGCCTTTTGTGTTAAGATCAGCTGTTGAGTAGGGCGTTGTGGAGCCATGCGCGGGTTGCTGGTCATAGTGTCAGTTTAATTCTTAAAGGGGTATGGCAGTACACACCAAGAACCTTTATATAACAGAAATACCAGGTGTTTTTCTGTTCGTGATTGATTTTGTTTCTGATAGATTTGTAGGGGTGGTAGACGTAGGTGGGAAGCGGGAAAGTGTGGCTATAAGCAAAAAAAAAAAAAAATGAAGTCTTATCCTTTAATGGGATATCTTAAAATGTAAAAAGTTTTTGTGTGTTTAAATTCTAAAATATAAATTTTAAAGTTTAAAAATTTGGAAACGGCACAACACAAACAATCTTGTCACGATCTCACCCATTATTTTTTGGTGCACTGTATTCTAGGTGTGTGCGTGCGTGTGTGTGTGTGTGTGTGTACATTCTTGTAGAAGAGCTTTCTTATCAAGGAAAACTGACAGTTTTTCTTCCCCTTCTCCACCAACCCTTAAAAAAATGAAATAACTAGAAGTAAATCTCTTAAGAAGCGAAAAGACATGCCCGTGTAGAACAGAAAAGGATATCTGAGAACTGCTTTTGTAAGTGCTCAATTTATTCGTACATGTTTTCATGGTAAGGTAATTTTTACTTCCCTGTAAAACCTCGTAACTGAGAATTCAAGAATTCTTGGGTCAAGGATTAAATGAAGTTCTGTTTTTAAACAGAACTTCCCCGTGATTTCTTAGTTGGATCCCCTCATCTTCCTTCAGGGTTGCTGTCATTGGAAGATAGCACTGTTGTGGCTGTGTGGTTCAGCTTGTCAGTCACAGCAGATTGTAGAGTAGTGCTGTTGTCATCTGTTGGTCACCTCCTGTCTTTTTCTGCTCACAGATATCATCTCCAGGCCCTACGGCACCTGTATGTGCTGGCTGCAGAACCACGGCTGCTGGTGCCTGTGGATGTGGACGCCAACACACCCTGCTATGCCCTCTTGGAGGTCACCTATAAAGTAACTCTCCCCGTCGTGTGTGTGATTCATTCCCTCACCCGTCTTGGCAGGTCAGGGTATTTCCAAAATGTTGTCCTTTAAGAGGTGACAACAGTGAGTTGAACTCTTGTAAAAAAAGAAGACTTCAGAGTCTCCATCTCCACACATCATGCCACTGGCCGTGCTCATTTACAGTCTGAGGGCTGAGACCTCGGGGGCGGACTGCTGTCCCTTCATCCTTACAGCTTGGTGGAGGGTCCCTGCTAACTTTACATGGCTGGTGGTAACCTGGGTAGGACTGTTGTGAGTTCATTAGCAGAGTGTTTTAAAGCCCAGGGTCCCGTGTTGTATGAGAGGCCTTTGATTTAGAGGCAAGTAGATTACACATCACATACCCTTCCTTCAGTCAGAAAATGATTAAGTATCTCCTGTGTGTTGCAAGCATGCTAGGCTCTGGGGCATAGGATATGACGTTGTCTTCTTCCTTTGTGTCCACTGGAAAGCCAGGCATGGTGCCTTGAGAATAGAGTGGTGTTTGGAGGCACGTATGAGAGGCGGGGGTCAGGGAGCGCTCCGTCCAGCTGAGGTTGCCGAGATGTGCCCATTGTGGGCCCCTTCCCAGCAGAGACAGCGTGAAGCCGGCCCGGGCAGGACTGCAGCCCTGAAGCGTCAGGGTGGGGCCCAGGGCCTTCAGGCTTAAGCCTGAGATTTGAGTACCAGAGAGGACCTCTTGCCACCTGTCAGTCTGCCAGCTCAGGGGGCGGGGTGAAGTGGGGAGTAGGGGTGTTGCTTCTTGCAGCTCCCTGCTCCACGGTAATTGCAGCTGTTCTCTAACATTTGCGAAGGGCACTCAGTGGTACGAGCAGACCAAAGAAGAGCTGATGGCGCCCACCCTTCTTCCGGAGCTCCACCTCCTAAAGCAGGTATGTGGGATGGGACCTAGGGAGCTCTGTCCGGGGGTGAATTCTAGCAGGGCAGCACCGCATTCAAGACAGTGGAGCAAAGGCCTGCACTTTCTCAGTGTCTGCAGGAGATTGGGGAGCATCCCTCGCAGGAGCTGCCAGGGGGACGCATGGGGTGGGGTGAGGAGGTGCTTTACTGACTGGTCGGGTGGCCTCCGGCATGACTCGTGCGCACCATTGTCTGGAAGCGGCTCATCAGCCTGCCAAGATGTCTTTCCAGCCCAGTGTTCTTCCTATGAGAAGCACAGGTTTCGTTTTGTCAGAGCAGCACTTTTTCAACATTGGGTGGGCCCTGTTTTCATCTGTCTCGGCAGATCAGAGTTAAAGGCCCGCGGTACTGGGAGCTGCTCATCGATTTAAGCAAGGGGACGCAGCACTTGAAGTGAGTACGTTGAATTCTCAGCCATATCTGGGAAGTAGGTGAAGTATGCGGGGAGGTGTAAAGTGCAGATTATTGTCGAGAGTGGCCCTTGTCACCATCGGTCTCATCTAGGACAATCCATACAGTACATATTAAACACAATGGTCTGTGTCTTTGAAACAGAGATTGTGTTAGAAAATGAAAATTTTAATTTAGAAATAAAACCCTAAGTATTTGTTTATTAATGAAGAAATTTGAAATTACTTAAGTTGGATGATAATAGAATTGTGTGGAGCAATAATGAATGAATTCATTTATGAAAATAAGGCTCGTGTGTCTACAATGGGGGTTCTGTGATGGCTGACATTTGTTAGGTCACATCTTCTCTCGCATCTGTTTACCATTCTCTTTTTAGATGATTCTCATAAAATTAAGATTATGGTAGGTTGGTTTTGGGTAGAAACAGTCATATGCAAGTCATTACTTTAATGAATGGAGTGTGTTAATTTTATGCCTGTGGTGGTATGTAAATTGTCTTTATATTTCCAGAAAATATAACAAGCTTGCAAAAGTTCTCTAGTTTGGTCTCAATTTCCATTTCCCTCAAACTATATAATAGCTGTATTCTGTATTGTTGTCTTTAAATTTGCAGCACCATTTTCTTTCTGTTGCTGCACACTTGTCAGTACATACCTATATCTCTGTGTCCCACGCACAGTGCTTGGAGGTACAGGGGACATGGAGACGTGTCAGATAAAGTACTGCCTTTGATGCTCATGGTGAGCAGACAGTTACATGTTTTCTCGTTTAACACGTTCTTGTGAATCTTGATGCCAAAGAAAGACAACTTCCTTTTGGCTTTCTTGTAGGGACTGATTTAACTTTAGACACAGTATTTGATCATATGTTTTCATGGAAAATGGTAAAGACTGTGCCTCCTGTGAACATAGTATTGAGAAATATGACGTTTCTAGCCAAGAACCTCCATAATACCTCATATCAATTCATTCTGGTTTTCTTTCAGGTCCATCCTTTCCAAGGATGGCGTTTTATATGTGAAGCTCAGAGCAGGCCAGCTCTCCTACAAGGAGGACCCAATGGGGTGGCAGAGCTTGCTGGCCCAGACTGTCGCTAACCGGAACTCTGAAGCCCGAGCTTTCAAGGTGGTGTGGATTAGTGAGAATGGAAGGACTGCACACCCCACTCGCCCACCCAGAGTATGGGGTTCTGTGGTCGCGTTCACGGCCATCAGCTGGACCTGCTCCCGCTTGTCACTGTGGGTGATACAGGCTGAGTGATGCGGGGTCTGTTTGCTGCATTAAGTGACAGCCATGGTAAAAGACAGGCCATCTACCTGGACTCTAAGGCTGGTTCGCCTCTGGCGGCAGAGAGAGTCACAATCTGTCTTAACTCTGTAAAAATATTAGTTTAATAATTTTACTTATTAATCTTCATATCTGTCAAGATTTACTTAATTCATGGCAAGAGTAGAAAAAGGTTTTTGCAAGGTAGCACTCAGTTCCATTTTTAAACCTTTTGTTGCTTAAATCTCAGTGAGGATGAAGTGAGGGCAGGTCTAGCTTTATCTTACTAGTTGGCTTTGTTCTTCTAGTGCCTGATGCTAGTACGATAGTATCTAGAATGAACAGAATATACGAAGCAATTGCCTTCCCATGGGCCAGCACATATTTTGCTTTACATTCTAGAACGCCAATGTTTCCAGCGCTAGAAATGTGTTCCATGATGCACCGTTACTGTTTCTGAGTTCGACCCCAGTTTTCAGGAATTCCATGAGCAGCTGTGCTCCTGCTGGAGATGTGCTGGGAAGCTGGGGAAAGTAGTCGCGGCTAAGGGTACTTATGTAGAGCAGAAATGTGGCGGGCGGACCAGCTCAGGCAGCGGGGAGGGCAGTCTGTGTTTTTCCAAGTAAGGACACGGCAGTTTATTTTAATTCAGCTCATCTAATTCATTTTAGGTCAGTTACTTGTGACTGAGCCTTTATGATGGTTCCCAGGGTTTAGATAGATGGGTTTGACATCAGTGACTTTTGTTTGGCAGTATTCCATCAGGTGTTGACTAGATAGTTCTGTAGGACTCTGGGTCAGAGTTTAACTTAAATCAGCACTGTTGCTTCTTATGTAAATTAGAGCCCATCTCAGAAACCCTAATCCAATTTGTAAAGAAAATAGGTAAGTTTAGACTTGAGTTTGAATGGGGAAGTATATAAAAATTAAGACATCCCAATTTTCTGCCTGCTGGGAATTCAGAAGTAAAATATAAACCTTTGGAAAATGGTAGTATATACATATTCCATTTTCAGTCTTGAACTTTGAGTGATATTCTTTTTTTTTTTTAAAAAAAGTTTTTGCGGTAAAATAAATATAACATAAAATTTAGGGTCTTAACCCTTTTTATGTGCCGTGCACAGGTAAGTGCTGTTAAGAGTGCTCATGTTGTGCAAGCAGCACCACCACTGTTCCCAGGACCCTTTTCACCCTGGACTGCTGAAAATATGTCCCCATTAAGCCACAACTACTGCCTCCCCTGCCACCCCCAACCCCTGGCAGCCTCTGGTCTGCTTTGTGTGTCTGATTTTGATGACCTAGTACCTCGTGTAAGTGGAATCACACAGTGTTTGTCTTTTTGTGAGTGGCTTGTTTGAGCGATATTCTTTTTTCCTTACCTTTTCAGTAACAATCCAGTTTGTTTTTCATTTAGTCAGTGAAGGAGGGGCAAAGCCTTTTGTGGGTGAGTTGTGTAAGGAAGTTGTGTTTATTATTGGCCTTTTGTTAAGTCAGTAGCTCGTGTTCTCTTGTGCAGAAAGCTTCATGTAACTTCTGAGCAGAACACATTGATGAAGCTCTAGCAAATTTGCATAGCCTTGGGTTTTGTGGGATCGTTGCGTGAAAAAAGTGAGTTGGATTTCTTAGAACTGCATATGTTACAGTTTGAAGAGTAAAGAAAATAATCTTTGTCATTTTACTTATATTTGTTATTGGTTGGTTTGTTCTGTAGCCTGAAACAATTTCAGCATTCACTTCTGACCCAGCGCTTCTGTCGTTTGCTGAGTATTTCTGCAAACCCACTGTGAACATGGGCCAGGTATGTATGATATGCTTTGCTTGGCTCCAAGACTGGAGCTTGTTATTATGTCTGCCCGTGGACAATGCTAGAAACATATGTACTACCCATCTTTGAGATCGGCCCTCAGGCATATTGTGTGATTTTTGTTTGGCAAGTATAGATTTTCCATAGCGTAAAACTATTAAATTCAGTAGCTTCCAACTTTGATAGAAGAAACAGCTTAAAATTTCTAAGACACTAGTTTTGATAGGTGAACTTTCTATGTCCCCTTTTGTACCAATTTATGTTTTCAGTGTCTGCTACCCTTTTCTCATTTTTACTTAGTTTTGTTTCCTTTGTATTTTATAACCCTCATTCCTGTTGGTCATTAAACTGTTGTTTTTGGGGTTTCAGTTGCCTAGCAGATCACTGACTTAATCCATTGTTGCAGATGGTAGAGTTTGGCTGTGGGAAGGATAGCCTGTTGCCTACCAGTACGTATGGCCTTGGGAAGCATTTCCAGCCTCTCCAAGGGGCAGTTTACTCATTTCTAAAAACGAGACTATAGTAGAGCCCACCTTACGTTCTTGTTTCGAGAGTGAAGGAAAATAACTTTTCCCCCTTCTCATTTAATGAATTTTCACTATGTACTGGCAGACCTCGGAGACATTGCAGGTTTGGGTACAGACCATCACGGTAAAGTGAGTCATGGTATTTCTACTGGTGGAGGGTCTTGCCTTTGATTTGTAAAAGGCACAACGTCTGTGAAGTGCAATAAAGCAAGATCTGCCTGTGTTGTCCACTCTGTGCAGTGTTTTACATCATCTCTCATTTAATCCTCACCCTTAGGGCAGTTTCTTTATGGTTACTGTTTAGAGATGTCACTTGCCCAAGGTCACAGCTAGTAACCACAGAGAGTGCACTCAAGGCCACAGGTCTCTGATGAAGACCTGTGCCCCACTCCCAGCCCCAGCTAGACATGGCTTTGCTGCCTCCCCCAAGCTTGTTCTCTTCAGTGTTTCTCCTGCAGCTTTGTGGGTGCCAGGTCCCCTTTCTGGATCCTGCCTTTGCCAGCACAACCCAGGGCAAGCCTCTGATCTCCTGTTTACTTATATCACCCCAACTTGATCCAGCTCTCTCCTCTACAGCACGTACTTTCTTAACTGTTCCTTGAGACTTAAATTTGGATGTGTTTCATCGTTTAATGTTGCACGTGCTCTGGTTTATAAAGAGCCAGCTGTTGTGCCCTTTGCTGCCTTTCTGCAGAGCTAAGACTGGGCACTGGTAGCTGCTGTACAACTGGTTCTTGAGTTGACTGGAATACACACTGAAGTGCCACAAACAGCTTCTGATTTTTCACAGAAGCAGGAAATTCTGGATCTCTTCTCTTCAGTGCTGTATGAGTGTGTCACCCAGGAGACCCCGGAGATGCTACCTGCGTACGTGGCAATGGATCAGGTATGGCCCAGAGCCTGGCCCAGTTCTGACAAAGGTAGCCTGTGTTTCAGTAACACCCTGAGCTGTGAGGTGAGGTTCCTGAGTGTCCATCTTTTTAGTTTCTCATCTCATTTAGAAATTCAGAAGTGAAGCCCTAGGAAAGATGAACACTCTGTTCATATCAAGAAGCTTAGCATTTAGCACAGCAGGGGTCCTTGGTGGCTGTCTTACTCTCACCTTGCCTTTCTCCCCGTCTCTCCCCGACTGATGGCAGCAGACAGCACTCCCTCCTCTGTCCCCCATGTGGCCTCTTGGCACCCTGCAGTGGCCACTCCACAGCCATGCTCTCGGCTGCGCTCTGAACCTGTACCCTGCCACCCACTCGGGCAGCTGTCTAGAGGAGCATCCCCTCTGGCTGCTGCTGCGGTGACTCTGCAGATGGGTCCCAACAGTGGTGTGATCACGGTATTGTTCGGCCTAACCTGACCACGTCCAGGGACCCAGCTGTGGGCCTTTTTGACCTTCCTCTTTCAGAACCTTGGAGCCAGGAGGGAGCTCACATGCCCTTGTCACTTTCACCCAAGAGCTAGCCCAGTAGGGCCTTGTTGGAGGGCTGGGCCATATGTCCATGCTGGGTGAAGGGCCCTGTGGGCGGCCTGCATCCAACAGGGTGGGGCCCTCCACCTTTCAGTGGGCTAATGGGCCATTCCCGAAAATACCCCGTGTCCCCTATGAATGGCGGTCAGGGCGGCCTTACTCACATGATGCACGTTGTTTTTCTTCCCCTCAAGGCCGTGCGGAGACTGGGGCGGGGAGAGGTGTCCGAGACAGCGGAGCTTTGGCAGATCAAGTTGGTGCTGGCCTTCTTCAGCTCCAGAAGCCACCAGGAGCGGCTGCAGAGCCCCCCGAAGCGAGGTTTCTTTATGAGCTCAGAGTTCCTCCCGGTGGTCAAGTGTGCAATTGACAACACCTTGGACCAGTGGCTACAAGGTAACGGGGGCGGGCCGCCTCCGCTCTCCGTTGTCCTCAGTGGGAGGCAGGCAGGTGTGAGGGCATGCCGGAGGGCCTCCAGCTCACTGTTGGCACTGCTTGTCCGCTGCAGTTTCTGTAAGATGTTTCACTCTGCTTTGTAAACCACAGTGAGAGTATACGGAGCATTTTCTGTGTCTTTTGATACTTAGTTTCACTTTCTCCAGTGTCAGATCCCATTTTTTTTTCCGACCTCTATTGTTTCTTAGGGGCACGGCACCTCCCCGAGGCCAGTGGCCATCTTCTTCCCTCCTCTGTACCCGAAATGGTGTGTGCTCGCTGAGCGGATGCTTGTTTTACCAGCTGTGAGTCTGTGAGAACCTTAGGCGGCATGTGATGGTGGTTTCTATCCATGGAAGGGCTGGCTTATGATGGCAGGGGAAATGTGGTCACGCAGAACAGTGTCGAGGTGCGTTTGCCCACCTGAGACAGTGGCAGAAAGCTGTCAGATATGTGCTATGCAGCTGAAACTGGCTTTTAGTAGTCAGCTCCTTGATCTTTTCCTTCTTTTCAGTTCATGCAGATGCTCGCAGTACACATTGGACAGCGGCCTGCTTTGGGTGGGTGCAGACCCTGGTGACAGCTATGGTGACAGTCCGAGATTCTTTATTGTACTAGTAATCAAGAACCCTAAGAGTTTGAATAAGTTAAAAACTACCTATAATACTATGAAGTAAATTTGAGGGTTCTACATGGAAACACCAATTTCAAACTCCTAGTGTGTATCGTGAACAACTGTTGCGTCTGTAATTTTCTCTTAGGATTTGAAAGGTCTTCTAGTTGAAATTTTTAAAAAATTAATTAATTTATTTACGCCTACAGCATCTGGTCTTCTTAGGTGGTCTCCCATCCAAGTACTAACCAGGCTCGACCCTGCTTAGCTTCCGAGATCAGACATCGGGCTTGTTCAGGGTGGCATGGCCATAGACCATGGGCCATTGCTCCACTGGGGCGTGAACCCAGGACCTTCTGCGTGAAAAGCAGATGCGCTAACTGCTACACCGTGGAACCATGTCCTCAAAAAATTTTTTCAAATGCAATTTTTGTTCTCATTTCTGGGAAATAGACAAGTTATTTCATAGTTTTCGGTGTTCCGTTTTCATGGAATTTTGCATGTGGTCATGTCCAGCAGACCTCTGCTGTTGATAGGACACGTGCCTGCAAGTCTCTGACTCGCTGATTTCATATGGTGCAGTGATACTGGTGGCAGCTAGAGCCTTCTGTGATGGCTTCCAGGACTGCTTCCTATAGCTCTGCGGGGCCCGTGATGCTCATGGTGTTGCTTTGAGCCACCACTTCAGCTGCCACCCTCATTGCCAGGAATGTGTGTTTATTGTCTAGAGGAGAACCATCAGTTTTTAAAACTCATAAATCAGTGATCTCCACTCTCACAGGGACTAGCCGTTCGTTGGCTGTGGCTGGAGAACAGTAACCTCTGTGGGGGTACGGGGCCTACGCTTCAGCGTCGGAAGCGTTCTGACGTTGTCATCTTAAAGTCACAGATGCACACGTGGACTTCCAAACCACAGCTGTTAAACCTGAAAGTGCACTGGATTTTTGTGTGGATGTCTCCTCAGTGAGATTTTCATCTTGAGCCAAGAAAATGGGTTTTAAGTTAAGAACCTAAAGAAGTTTTGTTAACTTTTAAGTATTTTATTATGGAAAATTTAAAGTGTGAGACAGAGCAAACAGAACAGTTTAATAAGCTCCAATACCTGGCTTTAGCAGTTACCAGAGTTCTGCCATCCTTGTATCTGTACCTGCATCCACTGCCACTGTTATTTTCCAAATTGCACCGTTTCACATCTCCACCAGCAGGGGGACGTGGTGTGGTGTTCTCTTTTGTCCTAGATGTCATTTTAGACAGGTTGGTGAGGATGTAGTGGTCCCTCATCTAGTTTTAATTTGCATTTCCCTGGCAACTCACGGTGTTAACTGTTTTATTATACTTTTTTGTTATTCATGTCTCCTTTGCAGCATCCATTTAAGCCTTTACTCATTTTTAAATTGGTTGTCATTTGATTATTGAGTGTAGGACCTTCTACAAATTCTGTCTACAAGTTCTTTGTGAGATGCTTTGCAGATTTTTTCCTCCTACTTTTTGCCTATTCATTTTCTTAAGGGCGATTTTGATGAGCAGAAGTTTAAAATTTTGATGTAGTCTATTGGTTTGTTTTATATTTGTTGCTTTCTGAGTGCTGTCCAAGAAATCTTTCCTACTCCAGGTCATTAAGACTTTTTTTAAAGTTTTCTATTGAAAGCTTTACAGTTTTAGCTTTTATATTTAGATCTATGGTTCATCTCAAATTAATCTTTTATGCGAGGTACGAGTTGAAGTTTAGGGTTTTTTTTTTTATCCCCCAAATACTGATATCCAGTTGTTCCAGGACCATTTGTGGAAAAGACTTTTCTTTCTAATAGAATTGCTTTGGGGCTTATGTTGACAATCAGAGGCCTGGATCAGTATGAGTCTGTTTTTGGACTCAGTTCTGTACCATTGGTCTGTTTGTCTTGATGCCAGGA